GGAGAACAGTGCCACATGCACGCTGATTATTGTCCTGCAGCCCAACCCACCCCCGATATTGTTGCCTGGTTCCCCATGTTTAAATTTCATGCCTGGGTGAATGTGAACGCAGGCTCACCACAGATGGAAACGTAACTGCATGACCTCTTCCAAAGGAAATGAGGCAACAGGGGCTAAGCTTAGGGTTTGCCTCTTAACTCAGCCACGGGACTGTATACTGACAGGTATGGTTCTGTAATTTAGTTCATAATGATGTGTCCGAATCTTGTCCATAGAGGAAATCTGGTAAAAACCACCATCCAGCGGCTTCTAAAATTTTTACATTATTAATATTGTAACTTAGAACCATGGCACCAACATTTCAAAATACTTTCCAGTTTAGTTCCCCTGTTCAGTGCGCAGATTGTCTAAGAATTCTGTATAATTGTATAGTCTATACACCTCAGGAAAAGAACAAACAGATGCTTAAAGGGTTGGGAATTTGCTACAAGTCAGATGTAGCAGGGGCAAAAGTGAGAAGAGAAACCTGACATTTTAAAAATTATCTTAAACTATTGAGTCATGCATCTATACAGAAATGATAGATACCATTATTTATTCTATCATTACGAAGAGAATCTAATTAGTGTTTTAATAAATCCAGACTCTCTTACCATTTTTTAGAATCTTATATTCTTATTAATTGGTTAGGCAAAAGTATATGAGGTGACACTACACAGTAACCAGAATGGTTGGGAATATCAAACTAGAAGTGTCATACATTCCTAGTGGGACTGTAAAATGGTTCACCTACTTGGAAAAACTATTTTGTAGTATCTGCCAAACATATGCCTACTCCCTCTCTTTTTCTCTCATAGATGAATGGATAGAGAGAGATAGAGGTAAATATATATACCCAAGAGAAATTAGCTGGTATGTCCAACAAGAGACCTACACAGAAATGTTAATGGCAGAATGTTCATTCACCACAGCCAAGAACTAGAAACACCCATCAAGCAGAAGCCAAAAATGGCTAAATAAGGGCGCCTGAGTGGCTCAGTCGTTAAGCGTCTGCCTTCGGCTCAGGTCATGATCCCAGGGTGCTGGGATCAAGCCCCACATCGGGCTCCCTGCTCGGCGGGAAACCTGCTTCTCCCTCTCCCACTCCCCCGGCTTGTGTTCCTGCTCTTGCTATCTCTCTTTCTCTCTGTCAAATAAGTAATAAATAAAGTCTTTAAAAAAATGGCTAAATAAATTCTGGCAGGTTGACACAATGGACCATTGCATAACAGGAAGGAAACAAATTACTAATATGTACAACCACATGGACAATTTGCATGTTAGGTTGAGCGAAAGAAGTCAGACTCAAATTGGTTGAGTCCTTTGAGATGAAGTTCAAGAACTGGCAACATTAATCCATGGTGATATATGTGAGAAAAGTCATACAGGATTCCTCGTATTGACTAGGAAAGGTACAAGAGGGCCTTTTGTGGTGATAAAAATATTCCATATCTTTGGTGTAAGTAGTAGTTACATAGGTGTGTGTGTATGTAAAAATACACTGTGCACTTTAAGGTTTGTGTACGGCTAAATATAAGTAAGTAAATGAATGAATGCCTTGAGCAATAGGTAGGTAGGTAGATACACACACTATCTATAGGTATAGATGCCAGTAGGTAGCTAAAACTTATTTGCTCTTTACAAGAAATTTCCTCTAAGGTATGATGTATAAATTTAATTCTCTTGCCATGTTTATGAATCTGGAGCACCTTTTGTGCCTGCAGAATAATTCAAAGATGCATGAATTTGTTTTTTCTTTTCTGCTTTTGTTTTGATTTTGTAACTTAGGAGCAAATTTGAACTTCTTGGTCATACATTTAACAAATAGTCATTGGATGCCTGATGTATATCAGACACTGTGCCAAGCTTTGGAGATCCAAAGATAATTAAGTCCCAGTCTCTGTCATTCAGTCTTCTGGGGGTGATAGAGATGGAAGCAGATTCTTGCAGTCACACAAGATATCGTCAGAGGCTGTAAGAGCTGTGTGCTGTGGAAGTGTAGAGCAGGGAGCTTCTCCCTGACTCAGAATGTTCTGGAAGTCTTTCACAGAAGGGTCGCTGGGCCCTGCTTTTATTTTTAGCACAAATTAGGGTCCTCACTATTTTTACCATCTACAATGATGATTTAAGACTACTTTTCAGTTACTAAAGACTCATTAAAATATGTTCTATAATCTACATGTTTTCTTAGATATCATTGTAATCACTTCTTAGGCCAGTTCAAAGTCCTAGCAGTTTCAAGGATAAAAGAAGCTACCTGCCACAGATTTCTAGAAAGCAGCAACATTCTTTGAAATGCTTGTAAGTGGAAAAGTAGTATTTCTTTGAATTAGTTCTGAGGTAAAAGCCAAGTTTTACTCAAACTGGAGGGTTACTTTTCCTTTCAAGTAATGTTTGCATGCAGCAACCACACTGCCCTGAACACATGTGCAGCATGAGCCCTGAGCCTAGGTGAGAAGCCTTCCGCTGGTTTTTATGTTCACACATGTATTTCTCCTAATAGCGGATGTACCTAGAAATACTCTGTAAAGTCCTTGGTATCAGTGTGGTTCTTCCTAGAAACAGACAATTTTAAGACAAGCATTGCAGCTCATCAAGAGCAAATGAATTTGTATGTTTTATATTACCTGTTTAATTAACAGAACTGCATTCTTTTAAAGTGATCCTTTCCTTCCCCTCGGTTCAGAGAAGATATAAAGATACTAAAACTCCTAGGAGTGTAGAAAAGTGTTTTATAAAAAGAAAGGAGGGGGAAATTATGTAAATTAACAAAAGATTAAAAGAATAAAATTTATAAAAGAAAGGAGGAAAATCAAGAGTTAGGACACATGTTTACATGTGACTTTTCTTGTTTTTAGTAACTTTGAAATCAGATAGTAAAATCTAAAGTGATGTCGTCACATCCATACAATAGCACGGAGTCTTCAAACCTGAAAATTTCTTGTGCCCAGTGATGTGAATTTTTCCTTTGACTTGGGGACAGCGTTTTAAAATGGATGATGAAAGTGAGGAGGTTCTCCAAATGGTATTTTCCATTGTCCTGTTTCCACAACTCTAGTCAAATGTATATTTTGCTCACTTGTAGAGATAAGAAAGCACCCTCTTCACACTGAGTCTGCATATAGATGGATGAGGGGTGAGTTTGAGGAAGATCCTGACTTGGGGAACTGGTTAGATGGTGCCATCATTTGCAGAGATAGGGAATACAAAAGAAGAACAAGTTTGGGAGGAAGGACGTTGTTGTGGTCTTCAGGGAAGGAATGTTCTGAGAGGACAGCATGAAACTTTTGTCAGCAGAAACAGGCCTGTACACACAGTGTCAGACCCAGGTCCCTGTGCGGAGCATGTGGGTAGGGAGACTTTCTCTGCCCTGCACCCAGGCCCTAGCCATTTGCACATCCATGACCTTGATGCCTCAAGTGATGGTCATCTAGTTGAAATCCTTTGGGACGCCATCGTTCTAGAAAGACGATTTCTTTTATTCTTGTCAGCCTTTCTGTTAAGCCTACATTGCTATGGAAATGATTGTTCTGGAAATACAGACTTTTAAAATTTTTTCATGTGGCTTAAGACAAACAAGAAAAAGACCAGAGGTCGTTTAGTCTGCTCTGTGAGAGCCAACCTGAGTCAGATAAGCCCGACTTCAAATCCTTGTTCTACCGTTTATTAGCTGATTGGTCCTGGACAAGTTACTTCACTTCTTTGAGTCTCAACTTCCTTATCTTTAAAGATAGATTCATTGGTACTCACCTCATCCCATGAAACTGAAGATTGTATAAGGCTAGAGAGGAAGTCAATCCAGCACAGCACTTTACCTCTTCTGTACCTCATCGAAGGATTCTTCCCCTCCTCCCCTAGCCGACTTCTTTGGCCCCAGATAGGATGAAAATAAAAAGGTTTTGGAGGAAGGATCACAAAATCCCACAATGATCCATCTGCCATTTAACAGTTCTTGTCAGAAAATAACTTCCTTCTGTCTAACTGCCCTGTTCCTAATGCTGCAAGCTAAGTGCTTCTCTTGGTCATGTCCTTCTTCTTTACTGTTTGCAGTTGGAATCTTGCTAAATGCACAGCTTGAGACCAACCTCATCTTCAGAAGCATATTTTCTTTCATTCTTGCCATTAATAGCTGAAAGCGCAAAATATAGCGGGAGCTCCAGAATCCTCGGTAGTTCTTTTCTGGTGGCCCAGATCAGGTGGAAACTGCATGGCTGGTTTTCTTTTCCTGCATGCATTTTTGTGAGCCTTTGTAGATGGAGATGTGCAGCTGAGACAGTGGGGGCAGGGAGAACTGAAGAATGAACCTTTACCTTTTTGTAGCTCCTTCCTGTTAAGGATCTCTAAAGCCTTCTCATTTAAGGAAGGCAGTGCCCATTGAATTTTAAGATGTTGGGGAATGTTTGAGGCTGAACTTAGATTTTAAAACCATGCTTTTCCATTTCCCTGGTGACTCGCACTGACTGTATAACTTTCCCAGTGCTCATTCAGTAAGTTTACAAGGGAGGCATGGACTTCAGAGACATTTGTTTTCATGGTAAGAAGTCAGGTTTTAAATTCTCTTTACAAATCTGAGTGATTAAGTTGACTCCCAGAGCATATAGATTTTCTTGAGTTAAAACAACGTTCAAAAGGAAACGATGAGCTCCACAGCCTGCCATATCCTGTGCTCAGAATAATTTCATTTCTACTTATCTGTGAAGGTTGAAGGAATGTCTACAAATATTTGCTTGGTTTCTATGGTGAAGGCAGAGAGAGATCAAGTGTGTGATTGTTTAGTGTCAAAATCAAAACTACACTATACTGTACTTTGAAAAAGAGAGTCAGTTACTTGAAACATAATAGACATTTAGCAAGTGGTAACTATTTTAAGTTTCATAAGTTCAAGATGAAATTTAAACAATACAGCCTGAAGGAAAACATGGGCCCTTTAGGCATTTTGAAACTTCATTTTACAAAACTGAAATGGTCTTCAACTTTATTAAAAAGTCATGTGTTGACTGAAGTTGGTGTTGGTGGACCCTCAGAATACCTGGGGGAGGTATGGGGACATGACCATGGTTTGTAAATTTATGCTGTAATAGAAGCCTAACCTCCTAATTCTGTAATCCTCCATTCTGCTATGTTCTGGCTACCCGTACATTTGTTGGAATATGCATTTATTTTGTGTCTACTACATGCAGTGCTCTGGGAGGTGCCATGGGTGGAAAGTGCACTTAGAAATGGTCTCTACCCTCAAATGGCTTGGGGTCTAGTAGGCAGTAAGTACACAATGAATGGGATACAGTGTGATAAGTGCTGGAATTACGTGTCACTAAGGAAGGACTAGGTGGGGCAAGGTTCACAAGAATTAAGAATGGTATTATGAGAAGACATTCCAGAGAAAAGTCTCAGCATATGGCAAGGCCATGAGGCATGACACAGCATGCATATTGAACACCATAAAGCCTCTGAGTAGGTTGAGGGAAGCATTCGTGTGAAGGAGGAGCAGGCGATAAAACCAGCGAGGGCGAGAGCCAGATCATAAGGGCATTGTGTGTAAACTGGACTTGAACTGGACCCTAAGAGCTCTGGAGAGTGGATGGATTTTAAGTAGAAGTATGGTGAGCACGGCTTCGGATGCAGTAGAGAGGACAGAGTGGAAGGAGGCCAACTGGTAGGAGAAGAGCCCAGAGGAAGTTGATGTGGCCATCAGGAGAGGACACAGGCGTGCACAGGGGAACTGTCAGGCTCTGGTAGCCTCATGGATAGTGGAGATGAGTGGGAAACCTGGGTAGGTGGCGATTTTGCCTGTAGAGAGAGAGGGAGTCTAAGAGGAGAAGCAAGTTTCAGGGGAAAGACAATGCATGCATTTTGAAATTGAAATACCTCTGGGAGTACTACATGGTGATGTGCAGGAGACAGTTGGATCTGTGGGTCTGCAGAGTTCTGGCTGCAGTGTGGTCCTGGAGGGAATCCACGTACGACACTCCCCAGAGGTTGTACATCACGGAAGAAGAGTAACTGCCTGAGGATCTTAGCCTTCAAGAAAAGAATTATATTAAGGGACTGATGGGGGAAGAGACCCTAGGGAGTGGGAGGGACTCTAGAACAGGACCCTCGCATTCCTCATTTAAATCACTACAGCCCATTCCCCACTCCCATTGTTTTTCAGCCAACTCATTTGACTTGCTGCTTTCCTAATTTGTGACCCCCTGTCCAGGACTGACAGTGGGCACTCGCATGATGAATCGAAGTGAAGCTCACTTGGACCCTTAAGGCTTGATGTCTGGAGTAAAACCTTTTTTAGGTTGATCTGTTGAAACATTAGCAAAATGAGAGAGAAGTATAAGACTCAGAAGGAGATGGTAAGGACTGCTGGTATCAATGAAAGGTCAGAAGCCTGGATCCCTGAACTCCACCTTTGGCCATCCTTCAGTGGGTCATTGTCATTGTCCCTGGAGCACAGAATGCAGGCCCCTGACTTCGGAGTGTCTTGTCCCCAAAGATTCCTTCCATCCCCACATTGGAGGGAGCCCCCATCTCAGCTAGGTTATCCTGTTCCATTGCCCTTTGAGTCTTCTTACACATCCCCCGAATCACATTGGGTTCAGCCTCACCTCCCTCCACAGTTCCCATTTCTTTTTTAAAGATACATGATTACTCTAAAGTACCCAATTGTTATTAGACATTATTGTCCCCATATTCTCCAGACTAGCTGAGTGCCCCTGTCCACCATCAGCCCTGCCCTGGAGAGTTCCCTGTGTTTCATTCATGTATCCAGTCATCAGATAATTACTGAGCACCTTTCAGGCATGACACTGATCATACACTGTGACCGGTAAGTCGAATGACTATAGTGGAAAGTAGAAGGTTCAAGTGCTATAGAAATGCAGGGAAGGGTGGCTGAGTCGGTTAAGCGTCTGACTCTTGATTTCGGCTCAGGTCGTGATCTCAGGGTGGTGGGATGGAGCCCCACCTCAGGCTCCTCACTCAGCAGGGGGTCTGCTAGAGATTCTCTCTCTCCCTCTGCCTCCGCCCCTTCCTCCTTGTGTGTGCACGTGCTCCTTCTCTCTCTCTCTCTCTGTCTAAAAATAAAATCTTTTTTAAAAAATTAAAAAATAAAATAAATGTGGTGGAAGTTCAGGCGAACAGCAATCATTTCCAGATGGGAGAGCAGGAAAGGCTTCGTGGAAGAAGTGATATGTGAGGATTCAGACCTGCTGAGACTCAGGGAAAGAATATCCCACAGAAGCAATGGCCAAGTGGTTGGAAATCACATCTAGATGGGAACCAGCAGCTCCATTTGTGAGCCGGGACAATTCTAGGTCCTGGGAAGAACAGACAGCCTTGCTCCTGATAGTGGATACATCAGAGCAGAGGCCAATATTGTTACTGGTGCAGTGCTGTGTGCTGAGAATCTCATTTTTGTGTAGACCTTGGCCATTTTTTGTCATCTCATCTCTCAAAACATCTTGTTCTGGCCCTTAGATTATAAATGAGTCTATTTGAGATGACTCCATTATTATTTGCTGAAAAGTACTTTGTATGTTAACTGTTACTGGTATTTAATTCTTAATAGTTTCCATTGAACTGGCTTGGCAGAATTAAAATTCTGATTATGATGTTAATTTAAATGTATAACTTTAAAGAACTAAACTTTGAGACCAAAGTTTATGAAAAGTCAGTGAAATTGCCACTAATTTTGATTTTCACTTTGTACACCATAGTAGTCTTCTGGAAGGAAAAAGCATACATACCAGAGAGTTTTATTGGTTTGAAGCAAGTAGACAGCTTAGATCAGAAAGCCCTCACTCTGGCCTTGTGTCCATATTCCTCAGAAATCCTTATCTGTGTTTCCATTTGAGACGTGATGTCGAAGCGGACCCCAAAAGGAGACTGTCACTGCACTGATCTCCCCCCCAAGTAATTACTAACCCAAAAGACAGGCAAAGATGTCCAAAGATAAGAGTTCTTGGCTCTGTACGGTATATACCTTGTTAAAGCTTCATGACCATCGCCACATCATGTAGGGACTCTTCAAATGCTAAGAAAAGTCACCTTACAGATCATCTAGTCTAAATGCCCTCATTGACAGAGAGAAAAATGAGGCTTAGACAAGAATTTGCCATCCATGCTCATTTCTTCATCTGCAGACTGAATGGATTAGTCAAGGTCCCACTGGGAAATGGGTCCCAGTGCACGCTCAAAATAATTCAAGGAAGTTTTGTTTACAGAGACAAGATGTACAAAGGGGGCTTAGGGGAAGTGCAGTGGATGGTGCTGGAATTTGGGTCTCAGTTGCAGCCAAGCTTTTACCATTCCCAAGCTTGACGGGAAGAGGGGGAGAGCAGTTCCTGGAATCAGGTAGTGCCCAGGACGGACAGAGATTTTGCAATGGCCGCACAGCCAGCTCTCGACAATGAGGCAGTCGCAAGACTGCCTCGCTCTTCTCCCTCTCCCTGAGCTCCTGCCTAGGCTTCCCATTGGCCAGACCCAGGAAGAAGCTGGAGGCATGTGGGTGGGTACGGACCTACCCCCACCGCCCAGGGCAGAGACCATCCAGAGAGGCAAAAGGAAGATGGACCCGCACAGTGTTCGTGACATGCTTTTCTACGCTACATGCATGTAGCCGTATAATAAGGTTGCTTCAGATAACATCTACAAAGTACTTTAAGGATCTTGGTGAAAAGAACATGAATAAAAGACTGTTAAATCGAATATTAAGTAAGAGTCGTTTACTCTGATACATTTTGAGTCAGAGTTGGCTTTGGCTCTACTTTATCTTATACTGTCATTGGACTGGTTCAAAAAATTGTGAATAGAGATCAAAGCAGTTTAAACAGATACATCCACTTGGGTAAATATCCTTGAAGTCCCCTTCCCGCCTGTCTTCCGTTCCCCCTCCTGTTGCCAAATCCATTCAGCACCTCTAGAGGCTGTTAATACATGTAATGATTGTAATAAACATCGTATTTGCTTTGGTTCCAGCTGGCTCCAACCACTGAACTCTGTCCGTAGTTCCTATTGTTGTCTTTGCTTGTAGACAACTGCATTGTTATCATGTATCAAAGAGGCTACCTTTGTCATAGATTTCTAAATGTTGATCTTTATACATTGCATTCATTGATCCTCTCTACATGTTTTTAAATGTAAACTCACCGTGATATTTTGTTTTTAAGAATATTTAGAATTATTAAACATAGAGAACTTTTGGGCAGAATTGATTCCATTGTTGAGAACATCCCTTACTTGATGCACTAAAACCTTGAAACATTTTTTTCAGTTTTGTCCATTCCTTAAAAAAGCTTTGAAGTAAAAATCAAATCTGCTTACGTGTGACAAACTGGTTTTAAGTTGGGCAGTCTTCCATAACAAAGTTGTAGAAGCACAGAAGTGTAATAATTCCCAAGCAAACAGAATTTATATTTTACTGTCAGGAAAAATTGTTACAATTTGTTCTCAAAAATTTGTAACTTATATATTTTAAATCCCATGAAATTACAGAAATTGTCATCATTTGAGGTATTTTAAATTACAGTGATGTGAAATGAGGACTGAAGGACTCTGGATCAGAGAATGTGGAACTGCCACATACATTAGCAAATTAAAACTGGGGACACTGTGACATGAGATGATATTACATAAACTAACTAACAACTATTAGATTTGTATCTATTGCAAAAAGTAGTAATTTGTTATTTTTAAATAAAGGCCTTAGACATTGTTGGGTTTATTTTTTTAGAGAATTAACTAGAAAGGTAAGTCTTGTACAATTCATACTTCCTTTTGGAATTCAAGCATGTTGAATTCCACAGATTAAAAAACCAAAAAGGTGTCTCTGTAGTCAAATGCTAATAGTTCAAATAGAGGATAAGCCACACACCTAATTAATAAATCTGATTCCTCTCACTGTAAAAATGACTTACACATAGACCAACCAAAAATCTTGGGGGATACCCAAGAGATTTATAAATCTTTTTTTTTATTGTAATTATTAAATGGGAATTTGACGAATAGATGTCCTACCATTCAGAGCACTGGTATTGTTCAGAACTAAATTTTGGAAACCTTTTTCTTAACCTTTTCTTTTCTTTCTTTCTTTCTTTCTTTTTTTTTTTTTTTTTTAAGGAAATCATTTAACCCCAAAGGATAGCCGAGTTTTTGAGATCTGGAACTGTAAACTCTTTTAAAGTTCCCAGTAAGATAGCTCCATGTAAATTTAAAATATTTTCCTCTTGGTTATCTATTTACAACCTGCATGCTTGCCTGTTGATTTGTGGATGTTTGGAATGCTGAGCTGAAGGTCTTGTGTTGGATGTTGAGGAAGGAGCACAGAGTTGAAAAGCAGAGGGTCCTGGTGAAAATCCCAGCTCCCCCACATCTCAGCTCAGTGTTTCTGGCCAAATGACTCAGCCCCTCTGAAATTCAGTTTTCTCAGCTATAAAATGTGCTTACTGACAGGAACTGACTGATCTCGTGCCCTGAAATCATCCTCGAGCCCCTTTTCCTTTCCACGTTTCACCTCCTGCTCTGCCACGTATTTGTGGCAACTATTCATTGAAAGCTTTGTGTCTGTGTAGAGAGTCCTGGCAGACATTTCTGTATGCGTATATGATTATTGTATTACACCCACACATAATCTGTTAATCAAAATTAGAATATATTTCCCACTGTTCCAAAACATCTTTATTCACTTAACAGTATATCATAGATATCTTTCTATGGGAGCACAAATGAGCGGGAATGAGAAGTAGCTCATCCTTTTTGATGGCTTGATGGCTGAATAATATTCCCCTATTGGAAATTATTGTGGGGTCAACATCCTTGTGAATACCTCTTTGTATACTAGACTGAATATTTCAGGTAAATTCCTGCACGTGGAACTCTGGTTCGGCGACATGGTCACTATTCATCTTCTAAATACTGTCAGATTGTCCTCTGAAGAGGTTGTGCCAATTTATGGTTTGAAACAGTTTCCCCACACCATGGCCAACCGGGAATAGTGTCATTCTGTTCATTTCTGCTAACCAGGCAAAAATGATACCCTTTATTGTGATGACTTTCTTCCTTCATTCCTTGCTTTCTTTTAATGAGATGAAGTATCTTTGATAGTGTGTTTCTTCTTGTGAACTATCTTTTTATACTCTTTATCCATTTTTCTGTTGTTTTGTTTATGCCATTTGTTTTAGATGTTTTATCCCAGGTTGTTACTTGTCTTTGCCTTTATTTTATAGTGTTTGCCAAAGAGAATTGCAGTCTGAAATAGCTGGATCTGTTCATCTTTACATTATTTCTAGATTGCCCTATCATGCTGAAAAAGGCCTCCATATCCCAAGGTCCTCTTCCGTTTTCTTCTAATATGTTTTTTTAGCCCTACTTCATATGCTTAGATTTTTTGTGAATATACAATTTCTTCTTATACATGGTGTAAAGTAGGGATCA